TGGAATAATTTATTTTGTGAGAATCAATACTTTTAAGGGTATAAACACTTTTCACAACCATTGATTTTATTAAACTGCTCTGGTAAAGTAGCTAAAACAGCCTGGCACTTTACATGTAGAGACAAGAAGATATGGAGCATGATAATCCTCCTCTCTGCTGCATGTACCACATCTAGCATCTGAAGAACACGCCTCAACCCATAGGTACAGGTTCGCTTTTACGCTAGAGCCCAATCTCTGCGTCTCTCCTCTGTCGTACAAACTAAGACGTTATTCTAGGGATCTGCTGTGTAGGTTACCAACTACAGTAGGGCTGGGTATTTTTGCGAAAGTCCTGAATTGATTCAATTTTGATTAATAAAGATCTAAATCGATTAATTTAGATTGGATCTGTATTTACAATAATGAAAGTGGTTCAACTGTGTTTCAAAATACTCATGTATTTTATTTTTTCCTGTTAAATTAAACACAAAGTGCAAACTTGTAAATCAGACAGTTTAAACTTTAGCTGTGAACAAAACTGTCTCATAAGTGTCTCATACGTCATGCACTAATCGATCTCATTTTCTAGACATCGATTTTGCAAAAATGTAAAGGAATCGATTCAAAATCGATTTTTGTACCCAGCCCTATTCCCAACAGGTTTACTTAAGAGTATGCCTTGTTTCTGTTTTGCTCTGTATAGATGTGACGAACAGGCATGTTCACAGCTGCACCTGCAGGATCAGGCTTGAGGTGCAGGTAACAAATAATGCAGGTAACTACTGCAGAACCTCAACTGCTAAAGACATTTCTGACAAGAACATTTTGAACTCAAATCTAAACATATTGCACACAAAAAAAAAATCGAAACATGGAAGTAATTAAACAGAAGCTTATATGGAAAATCAAAAGTTTCCAAAGTTCAATTCATAAGGTGTGGAATATTTCAACTTAGGAAAAAAAAAATCAGCGTGAATTGAGATGCATGCATGAAATCAAAGAAACTATAAATATCCTAAATAAATTAATAATTTAATTATATTTTTGCTTTAACTGTAAGTAAATTTTAATTGCCTTGCGCCAAAGATGTGATTTTATTTTATCTCCCTGTCTTAAAAATAAGTCATTTTTTGCTACAAGGAAGTCGATTTAGGTTTGTTAGATGATTTACTTTCATCAATGAAGGTTTTATTTTAAAAAACAAAACAAATAAAATATACCTTTTGAGGCACAATTTCATAAAATATTTGATTAAAGAGAAGTTAAGACTTTAGTTAAGAATATTAAATGGAAAATGCTACATTTATAAGCTGGTCTTGGTCTTGATTTGGTCTCAGGTTGGATGGTCTTGAATGCAGCACTCATAAACTTTTACATAGTTGGTAACCCTTTAAAGAACATCATCTTCTGAACAGGAAAAAGAAATGTTAAATTAAAGCGATTAACGTCTGGCTGATGAGAGGTAGTTTTGTTAAGAATAATATGTACTAAGATAAAACTTTTCAATGTTAAAAAGTAAAATTAGTATCATCCTTTTCAACACTTACCTGCAGAATCTTCTCTCTGGTCTCAGAAAGAATCTGCTGAACCTCCTCTTCATGGGCCTCCTTCAGAGTGGCGATAGCCGCCTCGTGTTCATCGTTTTTTGTATTCAATGCATAGATAACCTGCAACACAGAGAAACGGAAAGTTATTAGGTGTTAAATGATCATTTTTAGGATTTAATGCAGTAATAACCC